GGGGTTTCTCCATTAGACCCACATCTGTAGATGTTGATTGAAGCTGATGATGATGTGAACTTCACATGTACAGCTGGTCCAGTGGGGGCTGCTGGGAAAATACACCCGGAGGCCGCACTGTAGTAGTTATTGTATATGGGGGGAGGGGGGGGGGCAATTAAAGTACAATCTCCTGGAAACAGTCACAGATGTAGCGCCTCCCTGTGGCCAGGAAACAAAGTCTCATCTCCTCTATTCCAAACCCCCTGTAGAGCAAGGGTGTCAAACATATGGCCCACGGGCCAAACCCGGCCCGCTTTGATGAATGTTGAAAATGAAAAAATGCACAAACACTACATGTTAGTGCTGAGTTGTCAAATATTTAGACATATATATATATTTCTGATATATTTGTACTCTTTTTTTGCGTAAAAACAAAGGGGTAAAACATGGACTTATTCTTATTGATGATTGTACCGGTCCGGCCCATGTGACCCGCTGAACCAAAGTGCGGTTTGACACCCCTGCCCTAGAGCGAGGTGTGACTGTGGGCCGCCCCCTGACCCCGCCTGTGGTCCGCAACCCAGATGTTGTCTTTTTTTTCACATTTATTTAGATGTAAATGATAAAAACAGGCGGTCGACCTTCGGTTCTCAGTCAACAAAACAACACAAGAAGGTCAAAGGTCAAGAAAGCCACAGAGAGAGTTCCTCCTGTTGGAGAACCACGAGGAGAGGCTGTTCTTGACATTGATTAACAATGAGAACACGCTGTAGAGAAGGACGAGTCCACAGCACGTGTGAAGGTCACGGGGGTCATCTGTGTTTACATCTGTGGTCACATGTGGTCAAAGGTCACCACCGTGATGTGTAGTTCTCCTCCTCCTTATTCTTTATCTTCTTCTTCATCATCTCCTTGTCCTTCTTCTCCTCCTCCTCCTCTGATTTCTTTTTTTGTCTTCTCCTCCTCCTCCTCCTCCTTCTTCTTCTTCTTCTTCTTCTCCGTCGTCGTCTTCTTCGTCTTCTTCTTCTTGGTGTGTGTTTGTGTTTCTGTGTGTTTGTCGGTTGCGTGGTCTCCGTCCATTCATGTTCATGTCTGTTCCAGAATGCCTTTGCCCCGTTGACAGATGGCAAAAGTCGGAGTCACGCTGAAGACATGGGGCTGGTGCTGTCCTCGCTGCAGGCCAGTATATACCGAGGAGGCTACAGTCGCTTCACTCCCTATTAGCAACACTTCCAAGTTACTGTATCAACGAACCTCCGACGGGACCGAGAGAAGGGTGTGTGTGTCTCTGTGTGTGCGCGCGCGTGTGTGTGTGTGTGTGTGTGTGTGTGTTACTGCGGCCTGGATATTGCAATACCTGCAGTCTGTGCATCATTACAGCATCTCCTCAGAGAGAGACGTAGAAAAAAAAAAGGGAATGATCAAAAAAAAAAAAATACGACGACAGCTGATAATTTTCATCTTATACCTCAGATATTTTGTGCTGTGTTTTGATATGGTGGCTTCATGATTTCTAACGATTTGAAACATATGTCATCACATGTAGAGGTTTCTCCACGGTTCTCAGAGAAAGCTGCCCAAAGCCGTTAGCGTTGTACAGAACACCGACACTGTAGGACACACCCACGCCCTCCTCGCCGTCTCCACCGGCTGCTGGATCCTCTCTGCTCCTGCAGCAGAGCTAATGTGGCTCAGCGTGGTCCGCCTGGTGTAAAATATAAACGTCTGCAGACGTCTGACCTGAGAGGCGGACGGCAAAGAATTCAAACGCATCTTTGGAAAACGGTGGAAGCTACAGTCACAGAGCAGCAGGGGGCGACCTTTAACGATTACACAGCGTTGCAAACCAAAGTGCATTCACGTTTGGAATGAAATGAAATGATGTAAAAATGTGGTTAAAATAACGGTGGTTTGTCGATGACCTACCGTCGCTGAACCGTCCCAACCCGACACAACGATGTCACTCAAATACAAATTACTAGGACTGTATGTTGGGGGAAGAACAGGAGGGGGAGGGAGGGGGGAGTACACAGGCTGTCGTTACTTAGCCGAGATAAAATATTTGTAATATATTATAAAGGTACATTTCACATTTATCAACCTTTACGGTTTTATTTACCAGTGCTGCTAAAAGTGTTTGTGGACGAGGGCAGAATACTGTAGAAAAGAGAGGTGAAGGATTTTAATGGTTGGACAAAAAAAAACTATACCTGTGTTTCCTGTTTCTGAGTTTAGTAAAAAAAAAGAAAAGTACATTTAAATGAACCAAATTTCAGATGTCAAAGGTCATCCTCCTGGAATTCTCCGACGGAAAGACCACTGAAGAAGAAGAAGAAGAAGAGAGACCACTGAAGAAAAAGAAGAAGAAGAGAGTGGACTGAAATATTTCCTTGGGGTTTTTTTTGTTGTTGTTATTTTTTCTGTTTTTTTCTGAGTACTTTTTGACTCAGACTCTTACCTTTAACCTCAATAATTCGATTGGAGTGGAAAAAGTGTTGTTGTTCAGCCGAACTGAGCACTTCCTGATGAGCATCAACAGGAACACGATTTTCCCAGAATGCCCTTCTGCTTGTGTCTCTGACCCGATCCAGTGAATGTACGGGAAAAAAACAACAAAACAGGAGTTGTGTCGAGGGAACAGGAAACACAGGTATTTGTTCTGGTTCTGACGGCACTCATGGTCCAGGACCAGTGTTGGTTCACACGCTGACTTCCTCTCTGTTCCACCTGCGGTGTATTTACTGTAAAATGAACGAGTTTCTTCTTCTTCTTCGTCTTCTTCTTCTTTGTATCACAGCAGAGATTTAAAAACAATATAAAGCAGTGGCCAAAGGTCACTCTGCCTATTTTGTTATTTTCTCACTTTAGTTCTTCCTTCTTGGTTGTTTTCAAGGATTTGAAATTACTTTTCTAAGATGTGGGGGGAGGATGGGGGGGCTGTTAAATATTGTAACACAAGGATTACTTTTCTAAGATGTGGGGGTGGGGGGGGCGAGGGGCTGTTAAATATTGTAACACAACAATGTATATTATTTGAAGTGTGCAGTAAAGATGTTCTCTAATATAAATACACAGTGGTACAATGTTCTAGATTTAGGCGAGTAGAGCAGTGGTTAGGCTGACTTCTTTCATTTTCTATTGGATGATTTTTATTGGCCTAACTCTTTATACTCCGTGTCACTTCTTCCTCTCTGGTCAAATCCACCTTTAAAAACCCCTGAGCATCTGTGATGTAATCATATTCCTGTCACTCTTTTTCATGTGCTTCTAATTTCCCCTCATTTACTGTCAATGGACATAATGTCTGTTATTCATTTTATTTTAATTTATTAATTTTTTTTTTTTTTTTGGAAATTAAATTTTACTCTTTGAAATGTACTCTTTGGATATTTAATACTAAATGAATATATTATTTGTGAAGATGTTAATATATGATGTAACAGAGGTTGATAATAAATAAATCAGTTCTTAGTGTAACTTTGAAAAGTGCTACACAGGCAGCAGGACCTCGGCCGCACCGCGACCCAGCCCTTTGAAGCCGTTTCCTCTGCCTTCTGTTTACAGCTGTTCCAGAAAGACTTGTGTCATTGCCTACATATCTCTCTTTTGTATTTCACAGTACATTTAGACTGATGCAACCAACATCTGTGTGCGTGTGCGCGTGTGAGTGTGTGTTCGAGAGAGAGAAAGAGAGAGAGAGAGAGAGAGAGAGAGAGAGCTCACCTGGGGACCACAGGTCACTGATTGGATGATTTAAAGTCCACACAATGATCAGTGTCTGACTCCATGACATCTTTATCCAAACTCTGCTTCCAGTAGGTGGTGTTGTTAAGAACATGGTTCCTACGTCACTGTATATGCATGTACTACGGTTCTTTAAAGACTTAATAAAATGTTGGTTTCTGACGGCGTCCTCCTCTCTCCTCTGTCATTGGTTATTGGCTGAATCCTGTGTTGTCCAGATCAGACCAGCGTCTGTTCCTAATACAATCATTAGACTATTTGTCAGACAACACACACGTCCTGCTTTTTGCCGCTATCCGATAAGCCGATACCGATATCAACTGATACTTATAAAGGCCTGGTAATTTTTTATTAATTTATCTGTACAGACCAACCACAGAGTTCCCCCTCTATATCGCGGTTCTCCTTTGTACAACCACAGATTTCCCCCTCTATATCGCGGTTCTCCTTTCGCTCCCTCAGTACATCGTGGATTTATTTTTAAAGTCCGATCTCGTGACATTTTTTACGATAAATAAGGTTTTAAATTTCCAATGTTTTCGTTATTTTCGTGAAAAAATATAATTTAGTCTTTAAAAAAAAGAGGAAAAAACAGTATATAAATAAACGGAAACATATTTTTGCAACACACATACAGGATACTGTAAAAAAAAACAAAACAAAACAAGTACAGTATATGGTGAGCATAATGTAGAGTAATGACATAAGTTGGACACAGGAAGGCACTGTTGTTGTTCGCGCCTCCAGAGTCATGCGGTTGTCGATATTTTTGTTATTGATGGGACACCGTATTTTTGGCTCTATATTTAGTATAGCGGAAGTACCGGGCCGCAGTGACACCGTGAAAAAATCGACTTCCGTTTCACTAATTCACTTCGTTCAAAACAAGAGGTAATTCCATTAACTTCTTGAGATACTTAGTTGTATAAATCTGGTTGTAACACACCTGATACACTAGTATAATCTGCTGGAACTGTTTACTTAACTATTAATATATTTAAACTGTTTATATATTTAAAGTATTTATATACTTTTCACGTAACGGCTTTAAGAATTATACTTATTTCGCGTATACACAACACAGAGATATATATTGTGGTATATTTTAGTATTTTAATATATTTAATTCTAATATACTTGAAAAAATAGAGATTGAAATAACAACACCACGCATGACAACAATAAACATATACTACTACTGCTAACCTACTAACACCCACTGTTCAGGTCCCCCGTTTTCTCTGATGGTGTGCTGCTACTATTTTCGGTATTTTTGCATCACTTTCACCGGTCCCAGAGTCCAGTTCTGTGAAATGTTTTTACATGATTACGTGATTATTTTGAAAGAGTACCGGATTTGTCCAGCAGGTGGTGGGATTCCCACAAAAACACCGACTGATGTCGTTTCCTCCGGTGGTAACGGACGGAAGTGGGCGTGGCTCTAACTTAATAACTCCATTTTAACTTTAAAAAAGTTAAGCGATGATGTGATGGGGCGGGTGTGAACACATGGATGTGGGTGAGTTCTGCTCTCGTCGGTTCTCACCCTCTTAGCCCGTGGTTACAAACGTAAAAGCTCACCGCTCACAGTGATGCAGTTACGCTAGCATCACTGTGAGCTGAATTGGTGTCGTGTGCGCTGACTTTTTTCTGCTCCTCAACAGTTCCAGTTCCACACTGTTGGCACTAATAACATCTGAGCTATAAGCACTGATGAGCAGACCCTGGTCCAAAGATGAAGTTCTGTTTTCCTCCCAAGACCCTGGAGCCTCAGACACACGGTAAGGACGTTGTCAAACCTTCTAATCTAACGGAGTTTCAAGGCAGAACCGTGACGTAACCGGGACGACATATTGAAGATGAGTATAAACTAATGTAAAACCACGTAAGGTTACGTTTGCAGTAGTACTTTGTTTATGTAGCAGTAGTTTTGCACACATAGAGGTACTTGTTGTTTGTGTAGCAGGACTTTTGTACACATAGAAGTACTTGTTGTTTGTGTAGCAGTATTTTTGTACACATAGAAGTACTTGTGTAGCAGTACATGTGTTGTCGGATCAGCTCTGAGACCACGGAGGAAAACATCGGTGAATGTTGTTTGTCTTATCAAAACAAGATGAGACGTTCTCTTTAGAAAACTTTGTTTCTTATTCCTTTGCAGAGATCAGAACCAGAGACCAGGCTCAGTAAGTGTAGACTCTTGAGTCTAATCTTAACATCTGTACTGGACTGTAGTTGTTGTTTGTCTTATCAGATGACACTCTCTCTCCAAAAATCTTGTTTTGTCTTTGCAGAGATCAGAACCAGAGACCAGAGTCTCCAGGACCCAGCTGTCTGCCTGTGAGGACTGACCGGTCCAAAGATTTATCTTCAGACGTCGGTCAAGAACCCAGACCTCCAGATGCTCAGTAAGTGTCTGGAGGTCCTTCAGTCTGTTGTTGTTGATCAAGTGGTTCAGATGTGGGTGTGACAGAAACAGAGTAAGACGAGCTCAAAAACAGGAAGACTCTGAGTCTAATCTTCACATCTGTACTGGACTGTAGTTGTCGTTTGTCTTATCAGATGACACTCTCTCTCTTTATAAAACATTCTAAGAGAACCAAAAATCCTGTTTTGTCTTTGCAGAGATCAGAACCAGAGACCAGAGTCTCCAGGACCCAGCTGTCTGTCTGTGAAGACTGACTGGTCCAAAGATGTACCTCTATCATTCAGGGATGTGCATGGACCTGACGACACACAGTAAGAGACTTTTGTCAACACCGTCTCCTGTTGCAGTTTTAAAGGAAAGTGAATTCCTTGTCTTTGTGACACAGCACACCACTGCCCTAGAAGACACAAAGAAAACACCAAAAACAAAATCTAATTTTCACAAACAATGCTTGCAGTCCAAAAAAATTGGTTTAAAAACCAACAAAAAAAACTACCAGATTGTAACAAACTTTAAAAATGTAATATTGGAAAATCTAGAATTTAGAAAATTTAGATTAGATTAAATTAATGCAATGATAAATGGTGTACCTCCAGACTTCAGTCATGGACCCGGTCCTTCAGACACACACAGTAAGTGTCTGTTTGTTCAGATGTGGGTGTGACGGAAACAGAGTCAAATGAGCTCAAAAACAGGAAAAATCTGAGTCTTATCTTCATTATTGTACTGGACTGTCTCTGATAGAATCAAAAATACCAGATTTGTGTCTTCGCTGGCGCCACAGTCCCAAATCTTTTCTCAGAATTCTCCAGGGAAGTGGCAGCCGGAAATACAACTGGTGGAATGTGAAAACAAAAAAGTTTCATCTAAATGAGAGGAGAGAGGTTTGAGTGAAGAAGAAACTGAATCTGGTCTGGACTAAAACTCTGCTTTTATTTCCAGTCCAAAACCAGGACCACAACCAAGGCCAGAAGACAATGTCGGCGTCGTACAGTGTAAGTCATGAGTGATGAAAGATCACAAAAATACTGCTACACAAACAACTAGTGCTTCTATATGTACAATTCACCCATTCGTCTGAAGGTTCTCCGTCAGCCATGATTGTTATGAAATCATGGAACCAACATTAGTTCTGCATGAGTGCTTTAATGAGAGCAGCTTGTTATTTTATTTCTCTGATGCCCCCTATAGGTTGAAGAGAGAAAGCCTTAGTCCTGTGGTCAAGCTGAGTCTGGATTAAAAAATGTACATGTTCTGTTGTCTTTCAGTGGACGTTGGTCTGCAGCAGACTGTAGAAGAACATAAGCTCAGTCTGAGGAGGAGATGTGAACATGTGACTGAAGGAGCAGATGAACCAGGAAGTAGAACCCTCCTCAACAAGATCTACACTGAGCTCTACATCACAGAGGGACAGAGTGAGGAGGTCAACACCCAACATGAGGTGAAGCAGCTGGAGACTGCTGCCAAGAAGAAGA